GGTGGCTTAAGGTCTATAGGAGGCTGAGTCCTCAGCACAGCACTCCTGGGTTTGTCCCCTTGGGGTAAGCTGAGGATTGGCAACAAAGGGAGTCCAGGCAATGGAAATTCTAGCCTCCCCTGGCTTGTTCTAATTTGGAGGAGGCTGGGTTATCCTCCTTAAGAACCACCGGGATCTGTGGGGGAATTGAATGCATATCCTCTCAGCTCACCAGCATGAAAGTCAGACTCAGTATCAGCACCATTAGTGGGACAGGACCAGGGGTGTTGGCCACCATGTGCCAGCAAGAAGCAATGGGGTAATGGGGTTACTCAGGGAACACAGATTGTCTTTGCTGAGCTGTGGACATCAGGCTAACATTCTCACCCTCGGACTGAGAAGGCTGTTAAGTTTTGGGTAATTTAGGGAGGGTGTTACTTCCAAACAAAGGTCCAGGAGACTGTCAGCTGACCGAGGGCTGGAGATCCTGCATGCTGTGTTTACTCATGTGTCCTAAGCAGAGAACAGGACTGGCACATAGTGGTCACTCTGCAAGTATTAATGGAGTAAAGGAACACTGGACTTCCTGCTGCTATGGCATGTGGAGCTCAAGCTGTTGGTTACTTAGAAAAATAAAGACAGTGCCCACTCTCACCACTACTATTCAGTATCGTTTTGGAAATTTTGGCCACAGCAATAAGAGCAGAAAAAGAGATAAAAGGAATCCAGATAGGAAAAGAAGAAGTAAAACTCTCACTGTTTGCAGATGACATGATCCTCTACATAGAAAACCCTAAAGACTCCACCAGAAAATTACTAGAGCTAATCAGTGAATATTGTAAAGTTGCAGGATATAAAATTAACACACAGAAATCCCTTGCATTCCTATACACTAACAATGAGAAAGCAGAGAAATTAAGGAAACAATTCCATTCACCATTGCAATGAAAAGAATAAAATATTTAGGAATATATCTACCTAAAGAAACAAAAGAGCTATATATAGAAAACTATAAAACACTGGTGAAATAAATCAAAGAGGACACAAATGGTTGGAGAAATATACCGTGTTCATGGATCAGAAGAATCAGTATAGTGAAAATGAGTATACTACTGAAAGCAATGTATAGATTCAATGCAATCCTTATCAAGCTACCAATGGTATTTTTCAGAGAACTAAAACAAATGATTTCACTATTTGTATGGAAATACAAAAAAACCTCGAATAGCCAAAGCAATCTTGAGAAAGAAGAATGGAACTGGAGGAATCAACCTGCCTGACTAAAGTCTCTACTACAAAGCCACAGTCATCAAGACAGTATGGTACTGGCACAAAGACAGAAATATAGATCAATGGAACAACATAGAAAGCCCAGAGATAAATCCACGAACCTATGGTCACCTTATCTTTGACAAAGGAGGCAAGAATATACAATGGAAAAAAGACAACCTCTTTAACAAGTGGTGCTGGGAAAACTGGTCAACCACTTGTAAAAGAATGAAACTAGAACACTTTCTAACACCATACACAAAAATAAAGTCAAAGTGGATTAGAGATCTAAATGTAAGGCCAGAAACTATAAAACTCCTAGAGGAGAACATAGGCAAAATACTCTCCAACATAAACTACAGCAGGGTCCTCTATGACCTACCTCCCAGAATACTGGAAATAAAAGCAAAAATAAATGGGACCTAATTAAACTTAAAAGCTTTTGCACATCAAAGGAAACTATAAGCAAGGTGAAAAGACAGCCTTCAGATTGGGAGAAAATAATAGCAAATGAAGCAACAAAGAATTAATCTCAAAAATATACAAGCAATTCCTGCAGCTCAATTCCAGAAAAATAAAAGACCCAATCAAAAAGTGGGCCAAAGAACTAAACAGATATTTCTCCAAAGAAGACATACAGATGGCTAACAAACACATGTAAAGATGCTCAACATCACTCATATCAGAGAAATGCAAATCAAAACCACACTGAGGTACCATTTCACACCAGTCAGAATGGATGCTATTCAAAAGTCTACAAGCAATAAATGCTGGAGAGGGTGTGGAGAAAAGGGAACCCTCTTACACTGTTGGTGGGAATGCAAACTAGTACAGCCACTATGGAGAACAGTGTGGAGATACCTTAAAAAACTGGAAATAGAACTGCCATATGACCCAGCAATCCCACTCCTGGGCATACACACCAAGGAAACCAGAACTGAAAGAGACATGTGTACCCCAATGTTCATCACAGCACTGTTTATAATAGCCAGGACATGGAAGCAACCTAGATGTCCATCAGCAGATAAATGGATAAGAAAGCTGTGATACATATACACCATGGAATATTACTCAGCCCTTAAAAAGAACACATTTGATATACTCTGTGGTTTTAAGGAGGACATGGGACGTGTCTCTCAAGCAACATTGCCAGTCCTGTGCACCCGAGTGGGCAGGCAGGGCCAGTCTCTGATGGGTGAATCTCTGAGGATCAGTCTCATCTGTTGACAACAGTGCAGCGTCTCAACAGCCTCAGTCTTGGGGGGTTGGGGCTGAAGCACATGTAATAACTTCTATAAATGTCTTACAATCAGTGACCTCCAAACTGAACCTGCCTTCATTTCAGAAGCAAGTGGCTTCCAAGAGTACCCGCTGTCATTCTGGAGCTTGTTGGTCCCATCCCAAGGAGCCCATCATTCAGGACATTCTTCAGGGGTTTCCCTTTGTCTGCTGTTCCGTGCTGTTAGGTTGAACAAGATGGTTCTAGATCTCTTATCTGAGGCGGTCCTAGATGACTGCTTCCTTCAGAGTTACGAACAGTTTGTACATACAATCTTAACTTTCCCTTTCTTGCACAAAGTTCCTGACCCAGTGCGAGGAGATGAGAGGGAGTTTAGTGGGGTGATGCCAAGTGGCTCCAGGTTTGCTTTTTAGAAATCTCAGAGGGGATAGGGGACAAGGTGAATATTTCTTTCTACCAACGAAGCTCTCCTCAGGCTTGCCCTTGGGGAAGGCAGTGATGCTGGTGCCAGTGGAATGAAGCCCTCTGAGCTCTGCCGAGACCCCTCTGGTCACTGGCTGGCAGTTCCTGGCTGAAGGTGCCTTTGTCCTCCTTGTGCCTCTCTGCTGAGGTCATCCCTGCAGCCAGGAGTGTTTCCAGATTTAAGGGACTATGATGATGTGACACGTGGAGAGTTTAATCTGTAATACTGACCAGGTCAGGGCTTCCCCAGTGGTTAAGCAGCAAGGAATCTGTCTGCCAATTCAGGAGATGTGGGAGATGCAGGTTTGATCCCTGGGTCAGGAAGATCCCCTAGAGGAGGGCATGGCAACCCGCTCCGGAATTCTGGCTTGGAAAATCCCATGGACAGAGGACCCTGGTGGGCCACAGTCCACGGGGTCACAAAGAGTCTGACACGACTGAGCATGCATGCACACACTGACCAGCTCAGGCTTGAGAGAATCTCCAGCAAGCATGGGGAGGCCCTCATTTTCTCACATGGGCTTGTCCCGTCCACATGTGTCCCACGTGTTCATTCCTCCCTGGCAACCCGGATCTAAATGGAATCACTTCTCAGTGACCAGAAATGACCCTAATCCAAGGTGTGTAGGTTCTTTTCTCTACTAAGTATCTTTTTAGCGGCATCGAGGCCCAAACCATTTTAGCCAAGCTACCACGGACAAGTTTCTTAACTTTTCTAGGACTCAAGTTTCCTTATTTGACAAATGAGAAAGTAAATCCTGCCCCCCATAGCTTTCATAGTTGTTTTGAGAAGAGAAATTCTCAGTCTCTTTATAAGGAGATACTTCAATTTCCCTTGAATCCTATGACCACCAGGGAAAAATGTGTCTTGACAATGAAATGGCAGAAACAAGCATTTCTTTTTCTTTCCCACTTTCAATTCTTATACTGCATATTTTTTTTTCGATTAGGAAAAATCCATCAGTAAATAAATATATATATATAAATATATATATGCTACATATATGTACACACACCAAAGACCTGCAGAAGGGTCTTCAGGTCGTGCTTTGGGAGTGGCAAGTGCAAAGAGGCAGGAGGGAAACGCCTGAAGGCTTGTCTCCTGGTCTCCTCAGTGAAAGGCCCTTCCCTCCCATCTTCTTTGCCTTCAGGAATAGTCTGCCACCAGGCCTTGGAACTCAAACAGGAAACACGCTTTGGCTTGAAAAAGAAAGAAGCTGGGGGTGTTTTTTTTTTTTTTTTCCTTCTTCCCTTTTTACACAATATTATGACACCGATTTAAAAAATAAATCCCAGTTTCTCTGCTTTCCCTCCCAGGTGTTCACAGAACTAAGAAAATAAATACCACATCTAAGGTGTGCTGTGCACACAGCTCTGCGGGCCCTTGGAGCCGGCTCTAAACAAGCACACAGCCAGCAGAAGGCTTCGGGAGAACCACTAGTGCCCACTGACAACGTTCAGAACCAAGAAGGGAAACACAGCTTTCCACAGCCTTTCTGCCTCCTCAGCTAGTTCAGGGAGAAGCTTGAAGGACAACTGAGAGACCAGCGTGCAGGTGCCAAGCCCTGCCAAGGGCTGCGCTCTGAGAGTCCGAGGCCGTCCTGTCTCCGCACAGAGGGATCTTTGTGTGAGTTTTCTGGAACATGGGCTCTTTTTCTTGGCCACATCCGACCTCAGCATAGGCAGGAAACCTGCAGCCTGCTCCTTGCAAGCGGCCATGAGGAAACTTGCAGGGCTGGTGGAAAAAAAGTGGGGTTTCTCCTTCAGTCTCAGAAAGTCCCATTCAAGGCCTTCTGGGAAAGTGAAGCTTGCTGCAAGAGCTAGCCACACCCTGGAGAATCCCAAGTCCATTCAAAATGTCCCACTGGCACTGGCTCTGTGGGGATGCATCCATGGTTGAAACAGAATGGATGAAGCTTTCTTCCTGAAGGGTGGCTTGGCTTCCATTGGTTGGAGAAGAGTATGGTGTCTGTGTGTGTGCATGTGGATGTGTGCATGTGTTTCAGTTTCTTGTCTTCTCTCTTGTTTGAACTGGTGTTGGGCACAGTGTCTAGTCCTTCGAACGGCTCTTCCTCCTCAGCGAAAAGAAGCTGCTCTTCTGAGGGGGCCCCATCATCATAGGCGCTTGGTTCTTATGAGTAATTTTAATCGTGCATGGTGGTTGCATCCAGGGCTCTCCATCCACTTGCATTGGCAGCAGCTTGTTTGTCCTGATGGAGACAGAGGAGCACTGGGCTAGCCTCCTGCCTGCACTCTTCAGGCCAGTGTAGATCTGCCCCATTTCCATGGCTCCCTCTAGCCCCACCACTTCAAGAAGCTGGTCACTGAGGTCTTTTCATAAACAGAAACCTGGTTCCAGTGAAAAAAGGTTTTGCTCCAGATTGCATGATCCTGCATGCAACAAATAGGGTGACATATTCAGAAGTTTCTTCAAAAGCAGAGTAATGTAAAAGATGAACCATCTGTTTCTGAAATACACCCCCCCACCCCGCCCCCACCTTGCCAAAAAGAACACATTTGAATCAGTTCTAATGAGGTGGATGAAACTGGAGCCTATTATACAGAGTGAAGTAAGCCAGAAAGAAAAACACCAATACAGTATACTAACACATATATATGGAATTTAGAAAGATGGTAACAATAACCCTGTATGCGAGACAGCAACAGAGACACAGATGTATAGAACAGTCTTTTGGACTCTGTGGAAGAGGGCGAGGGGTGGGATGATTTGGGAGAATGGCATTGAAACATGTATATTATCATATGTGAAATGAATCGCCAGTCCAGGTTTGATGCATGATACAGGATGCTTGGGTCTGGTGCACTGGGATGACCCAGAGGGATGGGATGGGGAGGGAGGTAGGAGGGGGCTTCAGGATGGGGAACACATGTAAACCCATGGCTGGTTCATATCAGTGTATGTCAAAACCAATACAATGTTGTAAAGTAAAATAAATAAATAAATAAATTTAAAAAAAGAAAAAGATATTGCCATATATTTATACTGATTTGTGGAACAGTTTATATAATTTCCTAATTATCTACTAACACATGCATAAGGAGATGTGACTATACATGTGTAAAAGATGACATTTTAATTCCAAAAAAGGAATTCTTTTCAACTGGCTTCAATACTGCAGCCTATCCAGCCACAAGTTTGTCAATGTCATCACTGTTACTTGTGAGTAGGTTAAAATAGTGGGTTATAATATTAACTTATCTTTCAAACCAAATTTTTGTCTGTGTTGTGAAAGCCAGAGTTAGATGGAGCAAGGATCAATAAAGTGTCCATTGAATACACTATAGTAAAAATGGAATTAATAATAAGAAATGAAATGACTTCTTCTGACAAATGCTGTTGCAAAAAACCTCAGAGTGTCATTGAAATTGATATTGTAAGGAAAGGGGGAAACTCTAGGTGCAGACTGAACTTTAACATATAAATCTTCCACAGTACAGGTTGTTCATGATTTATTTCTGAAGATAAAAATAAATGGGCATCATGATGTGAAGAATATTTCAGACTCATTGACTGACTCAGATTTCTGTTTCTTTCTTTTTCCTGAAACTCATACAATATGACTTAGAAGGATATTTATTTTAGAATTCTAGAATTATCATTTTTTACTTAAAGATTAACCATAATTAGATAGGTTTCCCCTTATCTTTTTCCTTCTTGTAGAAGGACTTCAAGATTAAAAATACTGAGCATGTTCTAGGGGCCAAGGCACTGCAATGTCAGGAGGAGCTATTTCCTTTTGGTAGAGAGGGTGTGAAGTTTTAATGCCTAGCCAGAGACGGATTGTAACCTTCATGCTGTTACTGAAGCTACTTTTTTGAGATTAGACTTAAATTTTTTTTTTGTGACTGAATTCACATGTTAAAAAGCCAGAGAATCATTTGGCTCAAGGGCTTTTCCATGCACTTCAAGTCCATGGATGCATCCATCCAGTGTTTGGTAAATATTCAGATTGTCTGAGAGTTAATGCCCAAGCAAGTTGTGTGTGCCGAGCAACTCCCAGCATGGTGTTCTTTCTGGTAGCATGACAATCAGATGTACCCATCACCTGGACCCTGGAAGGAGCTTCCATTTGATGTGGTTATGAATATAAACAGAGATGAATGACAAATATCTTGGACTGGCAATTCTAATGAGGGGGATGAACCTAGAGCCTATTATACAGAATGAAGTAAGTCAGAAAGAGAAATATAAATATTGTATACTGACACAAATATATGGAATCTAGAAAGATGGTACTGATGAATTTATTTGCAGGGCAGCAGTGGGAAAACAGATATAGAGAACAGACCTATGGACATGGGGGCAGGGAAGAAGGGAGGGGGTGAGATGTATGGAGAGAGTCAGGTGGAAACTTACATTAGTATATGTAGACTAGATAGCCAGTGGGGATTTTCTGTGTGACTCAGGGAATTCAAACAGGGGCTCTGTGACAATCTAGAAGGGTGGGATGGGGAGGGAGATGGGAGGCAGTTTCAGGAGGGAGGGGGCAAGAGTGTACCCATGGCTGATTCTTGTTGATGTTAAACAGAAAACAACAAAATTCTGTAAAGCAAATATCCTTCAATTAAAAAAATAAATGAAGTGGCAAAAAAAAGATCTTGGACTGGGAATTTTTAAGATGGTAGAAAACTGATATTGTTCTCGTGTCAATTACAAAATCTTCAACTTGAGCTGTATTCCCCACCCCCCAGCATTAGGGTCCTAGTTATTTAATTATTTCCCAGCATTATTGAGATATAATTGATATAATAACATTTTATAAGTTTAAGGTATACAGTGGGATGATTTGATACACTTACATGTTGAGAAATGATTTCTATGGGAGGGTTAGTTATCACCTCCATAACTTACATAGTTACTATTTGTTTGTTTGTGGTGAGAACTTTTAAGATCTACTCTCTTAGCAACTTTCAAGTATATAATACAGTATTATTAACTATAGTCACTATGCTATACCTCAGATCCCCAGAACTCATTCATCTCATAATTGGAAGTTCATAATCTTTGACCAGCATTTCCCCATTTCCTCTTTCCCCAGCCCCTGGTAGCCATCAGGCTATACTCTCTGTTTCTAGGAGTTCTGCGTTCTTAGATTTCACATTGGCATCTGCATGCTTGCTCAGCCATGTCTAACTCTTTGAACCCCATGGGCTGTAGCCCACCAGGCTCCTCTGTCCATGGGATTTCCCAAGCAATAATACTGAAGTAGGGTGCCATTTACTACTCCAGGGGATCTTCTTGACCCAGGGATCAAACCCGCATCTCTTGTGTCTCCTGCTTGGCAGGTGGCTCTTTACCCACTGCACCACCTGGGAAGCTCACTTACAACTGAGATAAGTTAGTATTTGTTTTACTCTGCCTGACTTATTTCACCCAGTGTGATGCCCTCAGGATCCACCTAGGTTGTCACAAGTGGCAGGATTTCCTTCTTTCTCATAGCTGGGTAATATATTACTATAAATAAATCTGTATTTATTCATCCACTGACACGAACTTAGGTTGTTTCTATATCTTGATGATTTTGAATAATGCTGCAGTGAACATAGAATACTGATATCTCTTCCAGATCTGAACTTCATTTGCTTTGGATATATATCCAGAAGTGGGATTGTCGGATCATATAGTAGCTCTATTTTAAAATTTTGAGGGACCTCCATAGTGTTTTCCATAGGGTCTGCATAAGTTCACATTCCCACCAACAGTGCACAAGGACTCCCTTTTGTCCACACCCGCTCCAGCACTTGTTATGTGTTGTCTTTTTGATAGTGGACACTTTCTACAGGTGTGGGGTTATTGGGGTTATGATTCGCATTTCCCTGATGATTAGTGATGCTGAGCATGTTTCATGTACCTGTTGGCCATCTGTATCTCTTTCAGGGAAATATCTATTCAAGTCTTTTGCCCATTTTTAGTTGGCCTGTTCTTTTGTCCCTGAGTTGTATGAATTCCTAATACCTTTTGGACATTAATCTCTTACCAGATTTATGGCTTGTAAATATTTTCTCCCATTCTGTAGGTTTCCTTTTAACTTGTTGATGGTTTCCTTTTCTGTGCAGGAGCATTTTCTTGATGTAGTTCCACTTGTTGATTTTTGGTTGTTGCTTGTGCTTTTGGTGTCATATCCAAAAAAAATGTTGGCAAGACCAAAGTCAAGGAAGATTTTTTTCCTTATGTTTCCTTTTAGGAGTTTTACAGTTTTAGGTCTTATAATCAGGCCTTTACTCCATTTTGAGTTATTTTTTTGTGGGTGTTATAAGACAGGGGTCTAGCTTCATTCTTTTGCGTGTGACTATCCAGTTTTCCCAACACCATGTATTGAAGAGATGATTCTCTCCTCACTGAGTATTTTTGTCTCCCTTGTCAAATACTCAGTTCAGTTCAGTCGCTCAGTCATGTCCAATTCTTTGCGACCCCATGAACCACAGCACACCAGGCCTCCCTGTCCATCACCAACTCCAGGAGTCCACCCAAACCCATGTCCATTGAGTCGATGATGCCATCCAACCATCTCATCCTCTGTCATCCCCTTATCCTCCTGCCCTCAATCTTTCCCAGCATCAGGGTCAAATATTGATTGTAAATGCAGCAGCTTATTTGTAGTATAGTTTGAAATTATAAGTGTGATGCCTCCAGCTTTGTTCTTCTTTCTCAAGAGTGCTTTGTCTATTCAGGGTCTTTTGCGGTTCCATGTGAATTTTAGCATTGCTTTTTTTGTATTTCTGTGAAAAATGCCATTGGAATTTTGATAGAGATTACATTGACTCCATGGATGGCTTTAGATAGTATGGACATTTTGACAATATTAATTTCCTGATCCATGAATGCAGGATATCTTTCCACTTAGTTGAAACTTCTTCGATTTTATTTTGTTTAAAAAATTTTTACACTGATGGAAAATTCACAATGACTTTTTGACAGTTACTGTCTTCTTTCTACCTAGGCTGTCTTTTTTGGGTGCATTTCAAATTATTTTTCTGCACTACCTGGGGACACCTGGAAACAGTACCTCTTACTTCTGCACACGTGTGTAACATCCCTCTGTGTTTTATGACTTTGCTCAGTTATTCATTTCTCTTTATAGCTCCTCTTTTTTATAATGACGCCACTGCAGATGTCTTTTCACATATGCGAGAGATGTGGGTGAGGGTCTTATTTGGGACCCTGAGCTCCTGCTTCCAGGATGCTGTGAGTGAGCAGCTGCCAGCCCCATCAACCACAAGGGCTCCAGTGTTTGACCAGTGATGTGAGAGGTGATGTCCTGAGAG